TAGGGACGAGAGGAAGGCACTACGGACGAGAGGAAGGTACTAGGGACGGGAGGAAGGTACTAGGGACGGGAGGAAGGTATTACGGACGAGAGGAAGGTCTTACGGACGAGAGGAAGGTATTACGGACGAGAGGAAGGTACTGCAGACGAGAGGAAGGTATTACGGACGGGAGGAAGGTACTAGGGACGAGAGGAAGGCACTACGGACGAGAGGAAGGTACGGTAGTGGTAGAGATGGCTGTTGCAATATTATTCAAAATGGGGGTTTGGTCCTGCAAGAGGGCCTAAGACCATACGTGACCTTCCCGCCTTTACCGACTAAGACTACCGAACTACCGTGGGCGTACACCACACAACTACCGAGACTTGAAAGCTAAGCATCTTGGCGCAGCAGTTCCTGTTCCAGTTCTATCCATGATGGTGGAAACGCTATCCTCCCACGTGAGCAGGTTATTGAGTTTTTCAAGGCTGGTTCTCCTCCGTGGCTGCCTATTGATCGTGGTGATAAGGATGATGCGGGTAAGGAGTCTGGTAAGTTTGCTTCTCAGCAGTCTATAGGTTATTTCTATGTTGATGGTCCTACTTCTGCTAAGGTTACTATTGATGTTGAGCTGAAGTTGACTATTGCTTTGAAGGGGCGTAAGTGTTTGGGCGGAAAGATGGATAATTCTGGGGCTATTAATGCTAATAATGCTGGTCAGTCTATTGGTAATGAGGACTTGGGGGATAATTTGGCTACTTCTTTTATTGATAAGGATACGGATAGTGTTGTTTAGATAGCTTTATGTGTTTTAATTTTGATAAGTTTCTTTCTGTTTGAGTCCCTCCCGCGAGAGCACCGTCTCGGTGGGTTGTTGAGAAGTTGTCCTCCTCCCTGAGAACAGCTTCTCTTGCACTTGACTCAAAGAGGTCAGAAGTGGGATTCATCTTTCCTTAAAAATACTGTGCGCGTGTTTGTGCACACACTTTTTTGTGCGCAGCGTAAGTCACCCAAATCGCCTCTCGGCTCCCGGCCTCAGAA